TATTGAATACCTATTGTGATCCAGACATTCTTAGAGATTCAGATGTGAGTAAGACAAATTCTGCTGTGTAAGAACTTAAAATCTAGTAGGAGAGGAAGGAAACAAATATGTGTAATGGAAAATGCAATTGTATGATCAGAGATGAACAAAACCAGAGGACTTCATGGTGTATTTTCAACCCCAGAGTATCAGTTTAAAATGTACTTAATTTCAGTAGACAAGCAGCATATTCACTGCAGCATTGTTTGTAACAGAAAATAAAAGAAGATAGGCTGGTGCAGTGGCTCACGCCTGTAATCCCAGCACTTTGGGAGGCCAAGGCGGGCAGATCACAAGATCAAGAGATCAAGACTATCCTGGCCAACATGGTGAAACCCCATCTCTACTAAAAATATACCTCCTAGGTTCCAACAATTCTTATGCCTCAGGCTCCTGAGTAGCTGAGACTACAGGCACCTGCCACCATGCCTGGCCAATTTTTGTATTTTTAGTAGAGATAACGTTTTACCAGGTTGGCCAGGGTGGTCTCGAACTCGGGACCTCAAGTGATCCACCCCACCCCTTGGCTTCCCAAAGTGCACTTGGTAAGCCAAGGGGTGGGGTGGATCACTTGAGCTCAGGAGTTTGAGAGCCACTGTGCCTGGCCTAAGCCTCTGTGCCCAGCCATATTTTTTTAAAAAATATAATTTTGTGTAGATATATGATCTCACTATGTTGCCCAGGCTGGACTCCTTGGGCCCAAGCAGTCCCTCCTGCCTTGGCCTCCAAAGGTGCTGGAATTTCTAAGGGCATGAGCCACTGCCCAGCATTATATTTTCTTAAAATTTATTTATTTTTTAGATGGTGTCTCATTCTGTTGCCCAGGCTGAGTGCAGTGGCGCAATCTCTGTTCACTGTAGTCTCCGCCTCCTGAGTTCAACTGATTCTCCTGCTACAGGTGTGCATCACCACAGCCAGCTAATTTTTGTATTTTTAGTAGAGCCAGGGTTTCACCATGTTGGCCAGGCCTGTCTTGAACTCCTGACCTCAGGCAATTTGCCCACCTCAGCCTCCCAAAGTGCTGGGATTACAGGCGTGAGCCACTGTGCTTGGCCAAAATTTATTTTTTAGCATTACTTTTGTGTATACTTTTTACTCTAGAGTTCTCATTTTATTTTCCAACAGAGACAATTTTTCCATTAGTAATTTCTCATTGACGTAGAATGTTACCTTATTATAAACTAAATTTCCATATACACTAGTCTTTTTGCGGACTTTTTTCTGTCCCAATGATCTCTTTGTCTATTCCTGTGTCAGTAGAACAGTTTTAATTACTATCATGTTTTGGTTTTGTTTTTGAGACAGGGTATCACTTTGTCACCCAGGCTGCAGTGCAGTGGCATGATCTTAGCTCACTGCAACCTCCACCTCCCAGGTTCAAGCGATCCTCGCGATTCAGCCTCCCAAATAGCTGGGACTGTAGGTGTGCGCCACCACACCCAACTAATTTTTTCTATTTTTAGTAAAGATGGGATTTCGCCACTTTGCCCAGGCTGGTCTCAAACTACTGGGCTCAAGCGATCTGCCTGCCTTGGCCTCCCAAAGTGCTAAGATTACAGGCGTGAGCCCCCACACCTGTCCTACTGTCATGTTTTAATAAAACCTTTGAGAACTAGTTAAGGCAACTTTATCTTCTCCCCCTTGTTCTTTTTGAAAAAAAAAAAAAAATATATATATATATATATATATATATGGCTATTCTTGCAGTTACTTTCCTGGAAACTTTAGAATCTGTTTGGTTCGAGAAATAAACAACTAACCTCTGTGATGTTCTTAGAATAACACCAAATTTACAATATAGGGTCCTAGACTGAATCCAAAGATGAACTCTCTGGTCAGGGATTTTAAGTGACAGAAAGAGAAACACTATCTAAAGACCTAAGGTTTGTCGGGCACGGTGGCTCACACCTGTAATCCTAGCACTTTGGGAGGCCGAGGTGGGTGGATCACTCACCTGGCCAGACCAACCTGGCCATCATGGTGAAACCCCATCTTTATTATTAAAAAAAGAAAGAGAAAGTAAGAAAGCAAGAAAAAAAAAGACCTAAGGTTGTATTCTGGTGATGAGTATTGTTTAGAAAGGTTCTTAGGCTTAGTCTTTTTGCTCAGCGTAGGTGTATCTAGGAACCTCACTCTACCTTGGAGATATATACTTACTCTATTCTTCCCTAAAATAGGAAGTCATGAACTTCCTTCATGCCTTTCTATTCTCTCAGCCAGTTTGGTTAAAGTGACTTTGGGCTCGTAGTTTGTACAACCACTATGAATTTTTAAATAGAATGTAGCAAAAGCACCTAACGTTAGGTATGTATTGTAACTTTGAAGTAGCCTTATCTCACTAACAAACTATAGGCAGAAGAAACATTTAATTTTGATAGTAATTAATCACTTTCTCTTTCAGAGGAATTCTTCAGTTGGATAAAGTTAATGTCATACCGGTGACGGCTGTCAACTTATATCCAGATGGTCTTGAGAAAACAGCTGAAAACCTTGAAGATAAAACATGTATTTAAAATCCCATCTGATATCATGGACTCTGAATTAGTCTATTGCCTCCAAATTTGCCACTTGAATATAATTTTCTTTAAATTGTTAAGAATCAGTTTATATACTAGAGAAATTGCTAAACTTCTAAGACTGCCTGAAAATTGACCTTTACAGTGCCAAGTTAAAGTTTACCTTATTCTCGACCAGGCGCAGTGGCTCACACCTGTAATCCCAGCACTTTTGGGATGCCAAGGTGGGCAGATCACGAGGTCAGGATATCAAGACCACCCTGGCCAACGTGGTGAAACCCCATCTCTACTAAATACAAAAATTAGCCGGGTGTGGCAGCTCGTGCCTGTAGTCCCAGCTACTTGGGAGGCTGAGGCAGAATTGCTTGAACCTGGGAGGCTGAGACTGCAGTGAGCTGAGATTGCACCACTGCACTCTAGCCAAGGTGACAGAGCAAGACTCTGTCTCAAAAAAAAAAAAAAAAAAGTTGACCTTATTCTCTAAAAGGGCTGGCTATTCATATGATGAATTGTGAAAGAAAACTTAAAGTGGAAGATAAGACATGTGAAGAGACTTTGAAATTACCAAAAGGAACAAAAGGCCAGACAAAATCTCTTGTGCCAGGAACTTTTTAAGGTGCCTTTGTTAAGGAAATTATATCCACTTAATTACTGTAATATATAAGACTTTATGAAAAGCACTTTATAAAATTTTAATTTAAAAGCTCAAGAACTTAACACTTATTTTTTTATTCAGTACAATGTGCCTTTATATTGTGTGTGACTCAGTATAAAATCACTGAAGCATATCATGATTTGACTGTATCCTGTACCAAGACTACTTACCTTGAATGCTCCAAGATTTAAAAGTAGTATGACATGTTCTCACTCTAAAATAAACTTTTTTTGAGGAAAATGTATAGCCATTTTGGTTACACTGATATAAAACCTTTACCCAGGTAAGAATGGCCATGATGCAGGGTAGGTTTACTTTCATTTACACTGGCTGAAACCATGGCTCAAATCAAATGAGTCCATTGATACCATGAATGAGACTGCCCTTGTTCTTGTGGTTCTAGATATACTGCTGTTTACCCTACAAGCGTTTTATTACCTTTTTAAACCCTCACTCACATTGACATATTAATATTTTACAATGTGACCTAATACATACGATTATGTGATACTTTCTGTTGTTTCATTAAAAAATTTTTTTTACTGCAGCCCATCATTTTGAAAACATTGTCCAAGAAAGTAACGGTTTTTGTTTTTTGTTTTTGAGACAGAGTTTTGCTCACTGCCCAGGCTGGAGTGCAATGGCACGATCTCAGCTCACTGCAACCTCCACCTCCCAGGTTCAAGCGATTCTCCTGCCCCAGCCTCCTGAGTAGCTTGAATTACAGCCACCCACCACCATGCCCAACTAATTTTTGTATTTTTAGTAGAGACGGGGTTTCACCATGTTGGCCAGGCTGGTCTCAAACTCCTGACCTCAGGTGATCCATCCACCTAGGTCTCCCAAAGTGTTGGAATTATAAGTATGAGCCGTCGCACCCAGCCATGGTTGTTTTTTTGAGACCACTTTATATTTAGGCCAAATAGATATGTGTGTGGAGAGGATGACAAATAGTAGAATGAAGGAGTGATGTTTCATTTTACCAGACTTTAATTATTACATTGCATGGAGTTCTATTATTCCTACCCTCATATTGCTGAAAAAAATATCCTGCAACTTATAATTTGATCCTAGAGTTACCAGCTAGTAACACTTTTTCTTTACACCCTTTTTCTTTCCCTAAGTTATTAGCACCAGTTCTAACTCCAAACGATGAGATGATCTTATTTTATCTAGTAACCGTAAGCTTACAGATTTTAGTGAAGAAGAAAATAGAGGCTTTGCAGTTAGCAGATCCCTATCCTGGCTTCTGTCTTTCTCAATAAGACTTGGGACCATAGCAAGGTCCACAGTCTCCTGAAGCTGTTTTCTATGGCTGGGATAACGTAGTAAGTTATTTTCTTCTAAGTGTCACACATGGAAATCTTATCTAAAATTTTATACCATTAAATTTTATTTCACTTACTAACTTAAACCATTAACTATTACTGTAGCTATGTTTAGTATGCATGAGTTAATGAGTTTGATTAGAGGTTTAGAAATGCCTGTTTGCCTGTAGTGCAGCCTCTTATTTTTTCTTTTTAAAATGCAAAGTAAAATGTGTCTTTAAAACTCTCCCAGGAAGAGAAGGGAAGCTACCATAACACTAAGTGAAGATATATTGAGCCTGGCTCATGTTTTAATTAGCTACTTGTGTAAAAATGTTGAGGGATTTTCAGTTATCCATTGGCACCTAGAGGCAGTGGGTAAAGTTAACTGGAGATAGAGCCAATCTTGTTCTCCCTAGAAGGGGTAAGAGCAGCAAAGGAGAGAAGATGCTAAATTAGAAGTGCATATAAAGACAGCTTTCCTAGGCCCTGAATCAAGGCAGGTGGTGGTTTGCTATCGGAGCTGTTGATTTCAAGTAAGAGCCAAGATTGATGTCTTTCTTAAGGTCCGTTGGCTAATCCCAATGTGAACGGCCAATTCAGTTGGAAGAAGCAGTCTTGAAAAAAACAGAAAAAGCAAGGAAAAAAAGAAAAGACAGCTTTCCAAGCTAAGTAACATTTGTGGTCAGTGAAATAGAAATCTGGAAATGCTAAAGTAAAACAGATTATCAGCTTAAAAATATTGCCTTTATTCAGAATCATAAGGGTTTAAAAAAATCTTACCATTATGCAAGTTTAAAAAAATATAGCACTCAGTGCAATGAATTACTACATTTAATTATTATTCAAACACGTAAGGCACATTTCTCACAGTTTACATGTGAGAATTTAGCATGATCCAAACTCGAATATCCACTTCTCGTATCTCTCAATGTCTGCAGCAGACACTGACTTAGAAACCTTTTTTAAAGCCATTTCGAAATCCTCCATGGTTGTAGGCATGTGCATTTCTTCTTTGGAAAGATTTCGGATTTCCTCTGGAGTCAAACCTTCAATGCGCCTTCTCATTGCCATCAAGGACGCATCCCTAGGTTTTAAGTTAAAAACAACAACAAAAACAACACACAGTGTTACTTTGGTTAAATGAAAACCTGTTAATAGAAAAACTTTCGGTGGATCTGTTGTAGCATTCTCTAATTATGTTACACACATATATATTTAGTATTGCATAGAAGCTTGTTGGAATCCAAAGCCTGTTAGTTTTTTTAAGCAGTTAAATCTTCTGTGATGAAATAGAATGCTAATCAATTTAATACTGAATATAAACCCCAGAAAAAGTAAAAGGGGTGTTAAAGAAGCTAGCAATTAATTTCATTATAAGTATTCAATAAAATGAATTAGTATCAGAGTCTGAGAACCAATTAACAAGAAAATTAAATATTTTCTCCATGTAGAGGAAAAGCTAGGTAAGTTCAGTGTTTTCTCCTTTTCTCCTCTATTTGTGCTTTTTTAGAAAAAAAGAAAAACACACACACACACACACACACACACACACACACATTAAAATACCTCTTTATTTTTACCAAGTTTCATCTTTAGTAGCAGCCACCATTTATGCAAAGGGACAGAAATATAGCTGCTTGATGTATACAGGTTAGTTTTAATCCTCAGAACTCTGTGGTGTGCTCACTTTAGAGATGAGGAAATGAGCACAGTCAAGCCTCTGGTTAATTATCTCCACTAACACTTAGATTAGGACAAGACTGACTTGAACCAGCTGGATTAAAGACAGTCTTTTTTTTTTTTTTACTGCTATTCCTATCACATTTAGAATAAGTTCACTGAGAATGAGACTGTACTCAGCATATACCAAGTCAACATATTTCATGATCATTTCCTATTTTAATTATAGTGAACAAAGGCACCAACAATTTTTTTAATCCAAGACAATTATTGATTTTCCATTTTGCACAAATTATCCTAACATTAGCTTCTTGAACTTTTAGCTTTCAAATGAACTGTAGATTCTTCACTAACATGAAAGATACCCAGATATCTTACCAGCACCTGCTAACACCAACAAAACCAGTATTTGTGACTGTCTATAAAATGTAATGTGGGGCTGGGCATAGTGGCTCATGCTTGTAATCCCAGCACTTTGGGAGGCCGAGGTAGGTGGATAATTTGAGGTCAGGAGTTCAAGAGCAGCCTGGCCAATAGAGTGAAACCCCGTCTCCACTAAAAATAAAAAAATTAGTGGTGTGGTGGCACATGCCTGTAATCCAGCTACTTGTGAGGCTAGGGTACAAGAATCACTTGAACCCAGGAGGCAGAGGCTGCAGTGAGCTTAGATCGCGCCACTGCACTCCAGCCTGGGTGAAAGTGAGAGTCCATCTCAAAAAAAGAAAAAAAAAACTAATGTGGGTCTTGATTCATCTTTTTTTTTGGACACAGGGTCTTGCTCTGTCGCCCTGGCTGGGGTGCAATGGCACAATCATGGGTCACTGCAGCCTCAAACTCCTGGGCTTAACCACAGGTGGGTACCATCATGCCCAGCTAATTTTTAAAAATTTTCAAGGAGATGTTGCCCAGGCTGGTCAAACTCCTGGGCTCAAGTGATCTCTCGTTTGTCCTCCCAAGGTGCTGAGATTACAGGTGTGAGCCACTGAGCCTAGCATATTGATCTAAATTCAGCATAAGAACTTCAACTCAGAGGATCACTTGAGCCTAGGAGTTTCAGGCTGTAGTGAGCTGTGACTGTGGCTCTACTCCCCAGTCTGGGCAACAGAGCGAGACTGTCTCAAAAACCAAAGAAACTTCATATTAGTTTATGCCTCCAAAAACCTGTGCTCCCATAACTTCCATAATAATGCATACCTGCACACGTTGGTAATGTCCGCACCTGAGTAACCTTCCATGTTTTCTGCTATACTTGCAAGGTCAACATCATCAGCCAATTCCAGCTCACGTAGACTTATTCGTAATAGCTCCTCCCTGCCTTTTGCTAATGGTGGAAACAAATTTCAAATTAAGCCTATGGCATAGACACAGTATACCGTTGTCTCGAATCTTTTTTAGTGTGAGTTCTTTTCCAGTAAGAATTGGATCTCTAAGAAGAGATCATTTCTTAATTCAAGAGCCATTCTTTTTAATTTTAGGTCCCTACTATTTAATATTAAGGCGTATAGCCAAACTAGTGCTGTAAGGGAAGATACTCCTCATGTGTATCTTCTGGAAAGTTAGTTAATACCAAATTTAATTCTCTAAACAAAACTACTTGAGAGTTAACAGACTTTCTAACAAGATTTAAAGGAAGATACCTGATGGCAAAGGAATATAGATTCGTTTCTCAAGACGTCGTCTTAAAGCCTCATCTATATCCCAGGGAAAATTAGTAGCTGCCAGAACCATAACCATTTTGGAAGGGTCATCATTTTCAGAAGCACCTCCAACACCTAAAACAAAGGTAAGGAGAGAGTGAAAAAGATACTAAGTTGGATTATACCAAATAAAGCTCAGCTATTTAAAGATCATCAAATATTTAGCGCAACAATAAAAGGTAGCATAGTCTTCAAGCCTCCTTAAGACTTAGAAAGGTAACTGGTACATACATGATTTTGTAATCCAAAGAAAATAAGTTCTGTAGTATGCAAACATGACTCAAAATAGATTTAATCAAAAAACCAGATCAGCTCAACTACATAACAGTTTTAAATCTTTATCAAAGCATATGTAAACTCTAAGGCCAATTTATCTGCATTTCTTTCTATTTCAATTTCATGGCTAAAGACAGTTGTATATACCAAAAGAAAGTTGTATATACCCTGTGGGTGGCCATTATTTCTGACCTGTCACCACTGTCAGTGTACCAGATCTATTACTATCAATCTCAGGAACTCCTTGCCACCCCTGCTAGTCCATCTGAAGTTACGAATACCTATTTAAAGCCTTGGATTAGCACTATGAGTAAAGCTCGACCCACTGGAGCTGGAGATGCCACACCTAACAACCTCCCGCCCCAGGTCTCATGCTAAACACTTCATAGATACCATCCATTTGAACCAGCAGCTCTGCTTTCACCCTTCTGCTTGCTTCATGTTCTTCAGAAGTCCCTCGGCGACTGCAAATGGAGTCTATCTCATCAATAAATATGGTGGCTGGAGAATAAAATCGAGCCTAAAGGAATAAACCATGCAATACCAAGCTATTATTTCATTTTAAAATAACCTATAGGTTAGCAATCAGAAAATAGGTGAGGGAGGCTGGGCACAGTAGCTCACACCTGTAATCCCAGCACTTTGGGAGGCCAAGGTGGGCAGATCATTTGAGGTCAGGAGTTTGAGACCAGCCTGATCAACATGGAGAAACCCCGTCTCTATTAAAAATATAAAATTAGGCATGATAGCGCATTCCTGAAATTCCCAACTACTCAGGAGGCTGAGGCAGGAGAATCACTTGAACCCGGACGCAGAGGTTGTGGTGAACCAAGATAGCGCCATTGCACCCCAGCCTGGGCAGCAAGAGCAAAACTCCATCTCAAAAAATAAATAAATAAATAAACAACTCAGTACTTGGGCTTTTATGTATAAATATTTTTTACTTTTTCAAGAAATGGAGAGAGGAAAAGAGTGAACTTAATCATTAAAACATCCAAGAAAATTCTCAACTGAAATTTTAGTTAGGAACCATCTATCAAAAGAACCTACATTAACAAAAATTAAATTTCAATCTGTTGCCACACCAAGCAAAAATGACTAGACTGATTCTTCCCACATACTGAGGGTATGTAGAATGATCTGACTTCAAGCAAAGGCTCTGCATCCTGGCTTTAGCTGGCCAGGGAAGCTACTGTAGAGAACACCTATTGGTTCTCCCTGCACATCACACTTCTGGTAAGAGAAGCATCTTTTTGATTTGCAAATCATAAATCATCCCTCTTTCTTTTTTTTTTTTTTTTTTTGAGACGGGTGTCTCGCTCTGTCTCCCAGGCTGTAGTGCAATAGCAGGATCTCGGCTCACTGCAACCTCTGCCACCCGGGTTCAAGTGATTCTCCTGCCTCAGCCTCCTGAGTAGCTGTAGCTGGGATTATAGGCATACGCCACCACACCTTGCTAATTTTTGTATTTTTAGTAGAGACAGGGTTTCATCATGTTGGCCAGGCTGGTTTCAAACTCCTGACCTCAAGTGATCCGCCTGCCTCAACCTCCCAAAGTGTTGGGATTACAGGCGTGAGCCACCATGCCCGGGCCCTCACTACTTCAAAAGAGGCTACCTCTACTTGAAGGTCCAGGGGCTTTAATAAGGCCTGGCCAATCAGAGCACTTCAATTCTCTGACCAAAAATCAAGGAGTGTAGGCATGGATATGAAGCTCAAAACAGTCCAAATATTAATCTTTGGACTTTTGCTGGAACAATGACAAAATGAGGGCTAATTTCTCGGAGAGTTCATTACCCTAAGGACAATAAAAATAAGGCTTAAAAGCTGAGTGCAGTGGCACATGCCTGCAGTCCCAGGTACTTAGGAGGCTGAGACAGAAGGATGCCGTTTGCTATGATCATGCCTGTGAATGACTGCACTACAACCTGTACAACACAGTGAGATCTTTTTTTTGTTGCT